CTGAACATGGATGTGCATATATCTATGTGTCACAGCTCTGATCTCTTTGGGATATATACTTAGTAGAAAGATGGTTGGTCATACGGTATTTCTATTTCCGACTTTTTGAGGAAGCAACACACCGTTTCCCACAGTGGTTGCACCATTTTACAGTTACTAGCAGTATAGGAGGGTCCCAGTCTGTCCACACCATCACAGTATTTTTTGTTTTCTGTGTTTTTGAATTTTGCTATTAATGCTGGAGTAAGATGATATCTTATTGCTGTTTTGATTTTCATCTCTCAAATGGCCAGTGATCACAAGCATTTCTTCATATGTTTGTTGACCACCTGAATGTCTTTGGTGAAGTGTCTGTTCACGTCCTCTGCCCATTTTTTAATTGACTTATTTATTTTGTTCTTGTTGAGGTGTTGACTGATGCTTTCTATAAATTTTAGAGATTCGTCCCTTGATTGATATGTCACTGCCAAACATTTTTAGCCACTCTGTGGGTTCTCTTTTTACTCTTTTGGTGTACATAAGTGTCTAATTGTTAGGAAGTTCAAGACATCAAGTTTGTTTTCTGCTGTTTGTGTGTTTTCAGTTGTGTTTGATAGTGTTTTTATGCCATGAATCAGAGCCCCTAAGTTTGTCCCTGTGTTTTCACGGATGACTATTATAGTTCAAGTTTTACATTTAGGTCTTTAATCCATGTTGAGTTCATTTTTGTATATGCTGTGAGATATGTCTTGTTTCATTCTTCTGCAAATGCATTTCCAGTTTAGCCAACACCATTTATTGAAGAGACTATCTCTTCCCCTTTGTTTTGGCCCTTTGTCAAATTTTGGCGAACTCTAGGTGAATGGATTTCCTTCTGGGTTCTCAATTATTTTCCATTGATCTGTGTCTTTCAAGGAGCTCTGGTAGTATAGTGGTTATGAGTCGAGCAACTAATCTCAAGGTCAGCAGTTTAAAACTACCAGATGTTCCACAGGAGAAAGATAAGGCTTTTGGCTCCATAAAGATTTGCAGCCTTGGAAACCTTATGCAGGGTCACTATGAGTCAGAACTGACTCCACGGCACATAACCACCATGTGTCTTTCATTGTATCAGTCTTGACTGTTGAGTTTGTGTAGTAGGTTTTGAGGTCAGGAAATGAGAGGTCTCCTACTTTGTTCTTCTTTAGTAATGCTTTGCTTATCCAGGTGAGACTGTAAAGCTTTAAGGAAGCAAACAGCCTCATCTTTCTCCCATGGGGTAGCTAGTGTATTTGAACTGTGAACCTTAAAGTTAGCAGCCCAGCACTTATCCCACAGTGTCACCAGATCTTCTTACTTAGAGGTGTTTTTATTTCCTTGAGAATATTAGGGTTTGTTTTGACATGTTAAGGAAGTAACTCTATAGAACCATTCATATTATTTATTTTTCTCTGTTGCTGCTCTAATAAAAAATGTCATAGATGTTATTGATAAAATCCAATCAATTAAAAAAAAAATTAAAGCCAAACCCACTGTTGAGTCAATTCCAATTCATAAAGCCTGGAATGAATTTTTCCTAGTCAAAATGTTAGTGACGCCATATTATAACTTTCTCATTTTGGACACTAGATGTCACACTAAGTAAAGTTTTAGATGGTGCTCTTCAGAGTAGGGTGCGGCATAGCCTAAATCCTAGCTTTGAAAATTCATCGCCTATTTTCCTAACAGAGTGCTGGAAAGGCATCCTTTCACTAATACAAGTAACATTCAGGAGGCTTTAAAAAATAAATAAATAAAGTATTCATCAGAAAATACAGTTGGGCTAGAAGCTTATTATCATGTTTGCTAAACAGACACATTCCAAACCCCAACATAAAAGTGGTATTTCCTTCCAGAAACAAAACAGTCTTTCCAGAGGCAGTTTATACATACATAACAAGGTCATTCTTGTTCTGAGATAGTGCAAAGCTTCCCTGAGACAAGAACAAGATATGGCCCTAATCTGCAAGGGATGGCAAGGGTGGAAGAGAAGGTAATGACCAGGGGTCATTAAGCTATGATAAGGCCTTAAGGAAGGATGTGGAGTCCTATGAAAAGATGCCATCCTACTTCTTGCTGGGCAGTTAAGCAAAGAACATGGAACAAGTGACACGTCTTAGCCTTTCAAACCCATTTATTTCGTGATTTTAGCTCTTGGAATTTTAGAAAAGTACTGTAGGTTGATATTTGGATGTACATTATTTCCTTTTGAGAAATATGCCTTAATTTTTTTTTTAATGACAAGGAATATGGACTCAGTTTGTAAATGAGTTGGATGATTAATATCCTACAACTTAAATATAATACTGAAATGCCGAAAGTTTTCATTGAAGAGTTTGGAATTCATTGAAAGCTAGTGAGAAATCTTAGTTTTAGCAGCTATACTTAGATCTTGATTTTTTTCCCCAATAACTCAATGGGTTTGACTGTTTAATGATCTGTACATAATCTTAGATGTATCATATTTGGTCTATATCATGAATAATGTTCTTGAGTTTCAGTTTTCTGGGTAGAATATAAATGACAAGTCATTTCCATTGAATATGCTGATGTTCATTGCTGTCAAATCAGTTCCGACTCATAGTGGCCCTGTACAGCAGGGATGGGGAACCTTTTTTCTCTCAAGGACCATTGGATGTTTATAACATCATTCACGGGCGATACAAAATTATCAACTTAAAAATTAGCCTGCTATTATGGGTCGGACCCGACTCAACGGCACTTAACAACAACAACAAAGTGTGATGCCTGGAACTGCAGTTGTCTTCTCGGGGCCAGACCAAATGATTTCACAGGCCTCATACGGCCTGTGGGCTGGCCATTCCCCACCCCTGCTGTATAGGGTTTCCAAGACAGTAAAGTAAATCTTTGTGAGAACAGAAAGTTTCCTTTCTCCCTCAGAGCAGCTGGCGGACATGAATCAGAGCAGCTGGCGGACATGAATCACTGACCTTTTAGTTCCCAGTCCAGTGTTTATCTTACAGAGTATATAATTAGTCCTATGCTTTTTTGTTAAATATCAGCACTCTGATTATTAAGATCATAAATAAACATTTAAAAAAAAAAAAAGATCGGTTGCCATGGTGTCAACTCAGAGTAGAACTGAGCTCCACAGGGTTTTCAATGACTACAATCTGTCAGGAGGAGATCACTAGGCCTTTTTTTCCTAAGTGCCTCTGAGTATATTAGAACTACTAATCAATCTTCCAGCAAGTAGTGGATGTTGATTGTTAATTGCTTGTAACACCCAGGGACTACCAATAAAGATGCAATCGATAAAATACTTTTGTTTGGGTTTGTGGTTCAGTGACGTCTTTCTCTCACCCAGGGCGTGGACAAGTGGTAGTTGTAGCAATGCCTTCTAAGACAAGGTAGTTCTGTTTAGTTCTCAAATCTTGCTGTGACTTGGGGCTTTTTCCCTACTCATTAGTATTGCTGCTGCCTTGTGGTCTAGCAACCTGGCATTTCCCGGACCCTTGAGAAATCTCTCATTTTCTGTCTGAGTGCCAAGGGGAGGGTGAGTATGTGATAACTTCGCCTTCAGGAACTCGGCGATTTAGGGCCATCAGTCAGCCGTTAACTCCTTATTCAGTTTGGAAACTCAGAAAAGCTGTGTCTTCTCATTGCTGTTGTTGTTGTTAGGTAACATGGAGTCGGTACCAACTCATAGCGACCCTGTGCACAACAATAGGTCCTGGGCCAACCTCACAATCATTGCTACGCCTGAGCCCTCGCTGCCGTCACTTTGCCCATCCATCTGATGGGAGGTCTTCCTCCTTTTCTCCGACCTTCTACTTTACCAAACATGATATCCTTCTCCAGTGATATGGTCCCTTCTGGTAATCTGTCCGAAGTATGTGAGACATATTATCTTCTCCTGGAGGCTGTTAAAGGGGAACAAATCTCTTCAGAATAAAACGTTGACAGGACTATTTCTCCATCAAACCAAGGTTTTGTTTTCTTTTCTTTTTCTCAGTGTAGGTGGGCAGGTTAGTTCTGTATTCAAGAAATACTTATTCAATGCCACTATCTTTGGCTGTGGGGCAATAACAGTATTGACCCTACTTAGATGGAATAACACTAGTGTTCTTCATCCTGCTGAACTACTTTTATAGTTTGTGTGTTGGCTGTACTTAAGATAGGGTCCTTGGTGTTACAAAACATGCTCGGCTAATAACCAGAAGGATAAAGGTTTGAGTCTACCTGGAGGCGCCTCAGTACAAAGGCCTAGCAATCAACTTCTGACAAACCAGCCATTGAAAACACTGCAGAGCACAGTTCAACTGGGACACACAGCTGGGGTTGCCATGAGTCAGAATGGACTCACCAGCAAGTGGATACTGATACAGGTGCAGCTTATGACAGCTGAGCCAACGGCGCTATTGGGTGCTCTCAGTGGTTTCCTTACTGACCTGTCTTCTGATTTTAGCTTGTCAATTCCATACCCTAATCTGTCCATGCTGAAAGAGTATGTTGAGCCTCAGTGGATTTCAGTGCAACAAATAACTAATTGAGCACCTGTAAATGTAATATACCTGAAAGGAATCTTCCAAGAGCGGATGTAGCAGAACTTACCTTATGGAACTTGCAGACGAGTAAAAAGAACACTGTTCAGAAGTGAAATCTTGGATTTGGAATCCCAGGTTGATAGCTAGACCAGGCGAGAAGCAGAAGTGAAGAGTAAATGTGTGAGCACATGACACACATTGATCTCCATGATTCCTCTCAGCAACCCAGTGAGATGTGGCTGCTCATGAGGAAACCGAGTCACAAGCAATTTCACCAAGGTCGCTCAGCTAGGCAAAGCTGAACTCATCTATTTGAACCTGTCATCCTCGCAAAGCTATTAACGGCTGGCTACCTTTTCTTACAACCAGGATGTGCATATATAACTTAATAATATGTCCATGCATAACTTTTACTAAGCTTTGTACAGTGAGCTACGGAATTTGCAGACCATGGCTTTTAATGTGTCCATGAATTATATTCTTATTTCCTGTCAGGTCATGGGTTGGCAGCAGTCAAGGAAAAAGCAGGGGCTACCCTACGGATTCATGGTGCGAATTCTGGTGAAGGGGTTCAAGCTGATACTGAAAATGAAGTCCCTCAAAGTGAGTGATGTATTTGTTGGGGGGGATGGCATTAAGGGGGTCTTGGACTTATTAGACTTTCAGTTAGAAGGTTTCTGAGTTCATATCAGCAAAATTAACTCTAAAAGGGTGTTCCCTCTTTAGTAACAGATGCTGCCGCAGATCAGAGCCCTGCAGAAAATCCACCCACTTCTCCATCATCAGGGTCTCGGGGCGTCCTGTCAGCCATCAGCAATGTGGTTCAAAACACAGTAAGTCCTTCACTGCTTCCTCTGTCCTCCCCTGTGCCTCCCAGTGCCTCCGTTTGATGTGTCTATTTACCAGTGACCTAGATATGTCAGGCAAAGATGGCTTTGCTCATAACTTTGGATTATAGTTTTATTATGCTTCCTACTACAGAGTAGACATAACCTTGGATCCAACATAATAAGAACAAAAGGAAACATATTTTATGTGGAAAAGAAAGGAGCTGTTGAAAAGGACCATTTCCCAGTCTGATTGAACAGTGTCCTTTCCAACAACCACAAGGACAGTGTCGGGTTGTGGGGAGATATGGTTATTTCTTAGCATTCGGATAGCCGTTTTGCCTTACATGATCTGTGTCTCCTAAATCTCAATTTGAAAAATCATAACACTATTCAAGTGAAAAATGCCTTTAAAGAGACAGGAACTATGCCAGACAGATGTTTCTAAAGTGTTTACAGTTATCCAAGATCAACATTCAATCCCATCTATACAGGCCAATTCCCACTCTCCCTGCTAGTCCCATAACCTCAGATTTATCCTCCCGGGTCCCTGCCTGCCTCGTTACAGAAGCTCGTCATCAGTAGCAACAATAAAAACAAGCCCGTTGTTGCTGAGTTAATTCCAACTCACGCCATTCTTTGTATGTTACAGAGTAGAACTGCCCAATAGGGTTTTCTTGCTTGTGTGACACTGTAAGGTAAGCACTGGAGTACTAACCACAAGGTCAGCAGTTCAAACCCACCAGCCACTCTTGGAAATTCTACAGAGTCACTCTAAATTGAAACTGACTCAATGGCACACACACAATAACAAAACAACAACAAACTTTGTAGAAGCAGCTTGCCAGTCCTGCAGAATTCTGGGTGGTTTTAAACCACTAAACTTAGTGTTGTTGTTCCTAAGTGCCGCCGAGTCGGTTCCAACTCATAGTGAGCCTGGATAGGGTTTTCAAGGAGCAGCTGGTGGGTTTGAACCGCCAAACCACCTACCTTGTGGTTCGCAGTCCATTGCTTATCCTAAGGTAAATAGTTTGCCTCACCTCAGCAGCAAAACACTGATAAGTAAAGAGAAAAGTAACATGAGACAGCTGGTCTTCAGGTTCAGACTACAAAGGTTTTTCTCTTTCATATAAACCCAACTAACTAACTTTTCTCAGCAGTTGAGAAATCAAGTGAAGTATTGCATTAGGTAAATCTGCTGTACAAAACCTCTTTAAAATTGTTCAAGAGCAAAGATATCAGTTTGAGGACTATGGTGTTCCTGATCTAAGCCAGTATTTTCAATAACCTCAAGTACATGTGAAAGTTGGACAATGAATAAGGATGACTGTAGAAGAATTGATGCATTTTGAGTTACGGTGTTGGAGGAGAATATTAAAAGTACCATGGACTGTCAAAACAAACAAATCTGTGTTCGAAGAACTACAGCTAGAATGTTCCTTAGAAAACAGGATGTCAAGACTTCATCTCTCATACTTCAGACATGTTGTTGTTGTTGTTGTTGTTAAGTGCTTTCAAGTCGGTTCTCACCCAAAGTGACCCTGTATAGGGCTTCCAAGGAGTGGCTGGTGAGTTTGAACCACCGACCTTAGGGTTCAAACTGACTCTGCTGTCCAGCACATTAATCCATAGTGCCACACCAGGACTCCAGACATGTTGTTAGGAGGGACCACTTCCTAGAGAAGTACATCAAGCTTGGTAAAGTGGAGGGTCAGAGAAAAAGAGGAAGACCCCCGATGAGATGAATTGGCACAGTGTCAGCAGCAATGGGCTCAAGCTTAACAGCAATTGTAAGAATGGTTCAAGACCAGGCAGTATTTCATTCTGTTATGCGTAGGATCTCTATGAGTCAGAACAGACTCAACAGCACCTAACAACAACTAGTTTTTCTAGAAAGATAGCTCACATACCATTTATTCATATAGTCACTCATTAAAAAAAAAAAAAATAGTGATTAGCCCTTATTATAAACTAGAAGCTATGATTTGTTGTTGTTATGTAGTTGAGTCAGTTTTGATTCATAGCAACCTGCATAGGGTTTCAATGAACGGCTGATAGGTTTGAACTGCTGACTTTTTGGTTAGCAATCCAGTGCTTACCCTGCAGCACCACACTAGGACTAGTTCGGGGCGTATACTGCTAAACAAGAGAGCCCAATATCCTGGCAGACAGAGACAGTTCAACAGACAAATCTGAGTATAATGCAACATGGGACCAACAGGAGACTGTGGACACACATTGGAGGACATCTTACCAGGCTTTGGGGGTAAGAGCATGTGAGAAATACAGGCAGTGATTTTGCCCCTCTCTGTGGTATTTAAGGTGTTCTAGACTGGGCAAGGTGGAGGAACAAGAAAAATGCTGTCAGAGTCAAATGGCAATATAAGTCAAGTAATCCCCCACCTCCCATGACAGGTACTTGTGGGACTTGTGGTAGGAGGGAGCTCTTTCAGTATCTTTGGTCTAAGAAACAGCCATGGCTTCTCTGAGCTCTGCAACAGGACATTTGGTGTTTGTCTTCCTGTGTGTCTCCAACTCAAACCCTACCAGGTCTGCCCTGCTTCAAAGTCCCCATGTCCCTTCTTCTTGAGTTTTGGTTGCTACTAAAGTAATTCCTCATAGAATATTGAGAGGAATACCTGATACCCCATCATCTTCCCAAAGTATGTACATTTACCACTCTGCTTTAGTGCCCGATTTTTTATTGGCTCAACTGAAAATATCCTGAATATCCAAGGACAAGTCATATTCCTTCAGAGAACTTGAATATTGCTACTTAACAATTACTTAGAAAGATTGTAAAACGTATAAAATCCGTTGCCTTCAAGTCAATTCCTACTCATAGCGACTCTCCCGTAGAGTTTCCAAGGCTGGAATCTTCACTGATGCAGACTCCCACCATCTTTCTTCCATGAAGCCAGTGGTGGAGTTGAACTGCTGACCTGTCAGTCAGCAGACAAGTGCTTAGCCACTGGCCCGCCAGGGCTATTTACTGCAGTCTATGCATTTGACTATAAAACATAATGTACATTTTACTATGAAAAATGGGAAAAAACACACATTGGATTATCAGGTGTGCAGTTGGGTGTTAGAAAGATATGTAAGCAGTTCAATACAGGTGAGCCATTAATGTGAGTCAGTTTTGGCTGTTTCAGCCTTTTTTTAAAGAGGAAAACACTGACTGACAAAAGGATTTACAGGGAGTCTTGGTGTGGTGCTGTAGGATAAGCACTGGATTGCTAACCACAAAGTTGATGATTCAAACCCACCAGCCACTCCTTGGAAAGCCTATATAGGGTTACTCTGTGTTAGAACCAACTCGTTGGCACTTAACAACAATAACTATATGATAGGAGTTTCTAAAGCCAGAAGTACATGGAAATCAAGCTGTCTTAGTTCATGAATATATTAATTACAGAAGGTCCTCGCTAGTTTCTGAAAACATGTCACAGCCATATGAAGTGGCCTGAGGGTCTTCTACTCCAAAACCCTAGATTAAGGAATTCCTTAAATTGCCAAGAGGATTTGACATTTTTATAGACTGCTCCAAATAACTCTGTTACTTGGGTTAAGAATTGGGCCACCTATAAATTTCTGTCTTAGATACATATCCATTCATAGCCACAAAGCAAAATGAATTTCTCCTGTGCTTTGGGGTTTTTCCTACGCATCACTTTTAAATAACATTGTATGTCATACAAAGACTACAAAATCGGCTTTTCAAAGAAAAACAGAATAGGATGAAATGGGGGAGAAATCTCATGATGAGACAACCTTGTGACTTTATATTGGTTTTAATATTTGAAGATCGCGCCGGTTACCTGGAGATTGTTGACTGCTTCAAAACAACAGAGTGTAAAATCTCATCTTATCCAATGATCTCATCTGCAGGGGAAAAGTGTCTTGACTGGCGGTCTTGATGCTTTGGAGTTCATTGGCAAGAAAACCATGAATGTCCTTGCAGAAAGTGACCCAGGATTTAGGCGGACCAAGACACTCATGGAGAGAACAGTTTCCTTGTCTCAGGTTAGACAATCTACTTCTACAGTTTTTCCTTTCTGTCATGTTGTTGTTGTTAAATGCTGTCAAGTTGGTTCTGACCCATAGCAACCCTGTATAGGGTTTCCAAGGAGCAGCTGATGAGCTTGAACTGATGACCTTATACTTCAAACCAACTGTGCAGTCCAGTGCAGTGCCACATAGGCTAACTTAAAATGTTTTTCAAATCTTTTTGAATATATATTTTAAAGTATATGATGCAAATGATGCAACAGAATAGAGAGTGAAAATTAAATTTTTAGTATGCCTCTGTTCCTCAGCTACTTAATTCCTCCTCGTCGACAAGCACTTATGGATTTTACCAGAGATGTCGAATAGATTAGCTAGATATGTAGGTGGAGGGGGAGAGAGAAACATATATGCCTATGTCTGAAAAAAGCTATGAGTAGAAGTCTGCTTAATAGCACCTAACAGCAACAGCTGCTAAATTAAGCTGGGTCAGTACAATGCTAACTTTAACGTTCTTCTAAGTAATAATGATTCACTCATTCGTTAGGTTTTCAGATGCATTCTGAATGTCTACTATGAGCCAGGCACTGTGGCAAGAATCAGACACACATCAGTAACCAAAACAGATATCCCTATCCTAAGTGTCTTCCTTTCCAGTGGGGAAAGACAAACTATAAACAATACATAAGTAAATTATCTTGTATTCTAGAAAGATGATGGGTGCTCCAAAGCAGAAGAGGAGGATCAGGAATGAGGGGTAGGTTAAGTATTAAAGTGCTGAACGTGGGTTTGTGGAGGTGATGACATTTGGGCAAATACTTGAAGGAGATATGGGGGTTGCCATGCAAAATCTGGGGGAAGTGCATTCTAGGCAGAGGGAGCAGCTTGTACAAAGGCCCTGAGGTAGAGACAGGATCCTAAGTGGCTGGAAAAGAGTGAACCAGGGTGAGAGGTATTAGAGATGGCACCTAACAATAACAATCAAGTTAATATATTGAAAATAGATTGAATGAGGGAATGCCAGTGGTGGAAAGAACAGTTAGAGTGTTTATCAAACTAGGTCCTCGCAGAAGCAGATGTTAAGACGGGATTAAACATGGAAGAATTTTACTAGGAGAAATGCCTGTGTGAGAAAAAATATGGAGAGGGAGCCAAGGAAGACTGAAAGAGCCATGAGATCAAGGTGCAAATCTGAACACAGTGAAGAAGAGAGGAAGAAACTTGGGTAGATGCATCCTCAACTATTAAAGAAAGTGGTAAAACCGTTGCAGAGTTCTGCCCACAAAGGCGTCCCCATCGCTCTGGAACAAGCCTGCCTCAGTGTCCCAGGTCCCAGCTGCATCAGTGATTGGCAGGTTGCAGTGATGGGAGGTGTGACTTCAGTGCAAATGTGGGATGGACTTCAAAGTGCAGCAGTGGGACCCTTGACCAGTTCCGCTTTGTGTAGTAGCATGTCTACAGTTCACACTCCTGCAGCCTCAGAAGGAGGCCCTTGCGGTAATCTAGGCCAGATGTGATAGTGCAGAGAGCATGGAGGTGGTCATTAGTGATGCATTCTGGGTATATTGTGAAGATGGAGCCAGCTTTCCTGATGGATTGAATGTGGGCTTTGAGATAACGGGAGGTGTCAAGGTTTTTTCTTGAGCAACTGATATCAATGGTAATAGGGAAATTGATTATCTTTTTCCTAATCCACACTAAATAATACATACCTATTATTGCTGTTAAAGAAGCTCTGGTAGCATAGTGGTTACGAATCAGGCTACAAACCTCAAGGTCAGCAGTTCGAAACTACCAGCTGTTCTGCAGGAGAAAGATGAGGCGTTCTGCTCCCATAAAGATTTACAGCCTCGGAAACCCTGTACAGGGTAACTATGAGTCGGGACCGATTCCACGGCACATAACAACAACAACAATTGTTGCTGTTAAGGAGCCCATATGAGTTGGGCTGCTAACCCCAAGGTCAGCAGTTCAAAACTACCAGCCATTCCATGGGAGAAAGCTCAGGCTTTCTGCTCCCATAAAGATTTACAACTTCAGAACCCCTTTGTAGGATAGCTATGAGTCACAACTGACTCCACGGCACACCACCACCACCACCACCATTGTTGTTGGGAGTTCTGATGTGGCACTGCAGGACATGCACTAGACCACAGGGTCATTTTGAACTGCAAGGTCTGTGGTTCAAATCCACCAGAATCCTTGGAAACCCTATACAGGGTTGCTATGAGTCGAAACCAACTCGATGGCACTAATCAACAATCAAATCAATTACTGTTAAGTGTTATCCGTTCATAGTAACCTATATAGGCTGTTTACTTCCATAAATTTTTGCCAATGCTGTCGGTGCTTGACCTTCTGCCTTCAATACTATCCATTCTTGATCACAGAGTATTTCATGAAATGGTTGGTTGACCAATTCTTTTTGATACAGTGACTCTTTGTAGTCCTTCCATCTTCTTTTGATGTTTCCAGTATCATTAGATATTTTGCCCATACAATTCTTCAAGGTTTGAATTTTTACTGCAGTTCTTTAAACTTGAGAAATGCAAAGTGTGAACTTCCCTCTTGGTTTTCTAACTCCAGGTCTTTACACATTTTATTATACTCCATTACTTCATCTTCTTGAGCTGCCATTTGAATTTCTCTTTTCATCTCTCCTATGTCATCATTTTTCCAGTCTCTTTAGCTTCTCTCTACTCAAGATCAAGTTTTAGAGTGTCTTATGACACCCATTTTTGTCTTTTCTTGCTTTCCTTTCTTTTTAATGACCTTTTGCTTTCTTCCTGTATGATGTTCTTGATGTCAACCCACAACTCTTTTGGTCTTCCTTCACTTCACTAGTGTCTAATGTATCAAATCTGTTATTGAGATGGTCTCAAAATAAAGGTAGGATATACTCAAGGTCATATTTTGGCTCTTATGGACTTGTTTTAATTTTCTTCAACTTCAGCCTGAACTTGCATATGAATAACTCATGTCTGTTCCTCAGTCTGCCCCTTGTTTTGGCTGATCATGTTGAGCTTCTCCATTGTCTCTTCCACAGATATAGTTTATTTGATTCCTGTGTATTCCAGATATTAAGTTCCAGGTGTATAGTTGCCTTTTATGGTGTTGCATAAAAGGTGCATTTGCAATGAATAAGTCGTTGGTCTTGCAAAATACTACCATGACATCTCCACATTGTTTTATCACCATGGTCTTATTTTCCAACTACCAGTCCTTCCTCTTTGTTTTCAGTCTTCGCCTTCCAATCACCAGCACATACATGCCTCTTGATTGCATGTTTGATCAATTTCAGACTGAAAAACTTGAAAGGATTCTTCAATGTCAACATCACTGACTATATTGGTTGCTGTGTAAATTTGAAGAGTAATGATACTAACCGGTCTTCCTTGTCGGCATAAGGATATTGTCTTATCACAGACAGCATTGTACTTCAAAATAGGTCTTGAAAACCTGTTAATAATGAATGTGACACCATTCCTCTAAAACTAGTCATTCATTCTTGGCATAGTAAACAGTATGATCTTCTGATTCAAAGTGGCTAATACCATACAATTTCAGCACACCAGTGCTTAGGATATTGATTTTTCTGAGTTCCATTTCATTTCTGACAACTTCCAATTTCCCTAGCTTCATAGTTTGCACATCCCATGTTCCGATTATTAATGGATGTTTGTAGCTGTTTCTTCTCCTTTGTGTTTTGCCACATCAGCAAATGAAGGTCCTGAAAACGTAACCCCGTACAAGTCAGTAAGATCACATCTATTCTTTTGATTGTCTTCCATCCTGAGGGGCTCGTCTTCTGGCACTATTTATGACAATGTTCCACTGCTATTCAGAAGGTTTTTGGTGGCTAATCATTCAGAAGTGATCCTCCTCTCCTTCTTCCTAGTCTGTCTTATTCTGGAAGCTCTGCTGAAACCTGCCCACCATGGTTGATCCTGCTAGTATTTAAAATACCAATAACATAGCTTTCAGCATCACAGCAATCCACAAGCCACCACAGTCTGACAAACCAATGGACGAGTAGTGGAAATCAAGAGATGCTTAGAGTCTATGAAAGCAAATGCAGAAAATTGACAGGTACTGGTGGACTTGTATTCATTTTGTTGTCTTTATTTCATCAGCAAAACAGAATTAGAGAACATTTATCCACATGGAATGGAACTTGATTCCCAGTTGTACTTCTTAAGATCAGTCCAGCAATCTATGAGCTAACATTCTTATTTATAATAACAATCTGGTGATGAATACATTATGAGTTTATATTTTATTAATTTTTATTGAAGATTTTTAATAACCACATATACAGTTTTATGAATAATGTATCTCTGATATAATCAGGCCAGCTTGTTTCCGCTTTGAAGTCTGCCTTGGAATCAATCCCATCACAATAGATTAAGCTTTCCTGGCACACATAAAACTTACCCATTATAGAAAATTTGGACATTTGGAAAATAAGAAAATGGATCACACCCATTAGAAACACTTCCGTGGAAAACCACACAAACTTCTGGTGTGTTTCTTTGCAGTCTTATTCTAGTACAAAGAATTTGTGCTTAGTTTTATCTTGTACTTCATCACAATCCAACCCACCCACGATCATCAAATCAATCCTGATTCCTAGTGACCTATAGGACAGAGTGAACTGCTCCACAGGGTTTCCAGGGCTGTTTTAAGGAAGCACACTGCCTCATCTTTCTCCTGTGAAATGGCTGGTGGCTTTGAACCTTTTGGATCACAGCCCAACACTTAACCCACTGCACAACCAGGGTTCTTGTACTTAATAAGCATATAAAATTCAAAGTGGGCTATTATATAAAAAGAATTAATAGCATTAATGGGGATCCTGGTGCGGCACTTCTTGGAAACCCCATACAGGTTTGCTATGAGATGAGTCAGAACCCACTCGATAGCAGTTAACAACAGCAGTAGCATCAATTTTAAAACATCGTTGTTCAGAAAGTCCGAAGTTGACTAAGACCTACTCTTCTCAATACAAAGTCAGTCCTCCCCATCTCTCCCTATAGCTCATCCAGGAAATGGGCTGGAAAGCACTTAAGAATATACCCACTGTGCCAATGTTGTCTCTTGCTGCAGATGTTAAGGGAAGCAAAAGAGAAGGAGAAGCAGAGGCTGGCACAGCAGCTCACAGCAGAAAGGACTGCACACTATGGCATGTTGTTTGATGAGTATCAAGGCTTGTCACATCTGGAAGCCCTGGAAATCCTGTCCAATGAAAGTGAAAGCCAGGTAGGTCAGCATGACGCATTTGTGAAAACATGTTTATTAATGTGTTCTTGAACATGGGAAAAAATGAAATGTTTTACCTTAAAACATCTCATTTTTAGAACCTCATTCTTGTTCTGCTAATGTTACAAAATTTGTACACCCTGATGTTCCATGTTATTTCATTTCCGGCTTTTGCCAAGCTATTATCCCTTCCCAGCCTCCAGAAGGCCAGCCCAGTGGGTTACCGCTCTGCGTCACCTCTTGGTATAAAAGAGTCCTCAAAAACTTAGCTGTCAGTCTCCTGGCCGTATGCCTTCATGTTGTGACTTAATACCCAGAGCCTGTCATCCTATGTCTTCGCTTTGGATTAATGAAAACAAAGCAACTGTCTTTTAGACTGCAGGGTTTTAATACATTTTCTCTTATAGGTTAGATGGTTATTCATGTATTCAACCATCTTGTTAGGGTGCCCAGGCCACAGAATGCAGGATTATCTTACTGGGAATTGAAGTTCAAGTTGGGAAGTAAATCCCTCATATAGAAACATGGCAAAGCTATGCTACTCAGAGACTGTGCTTTCATGTTCCCCTCTGCAGCTGCAAGAGAACAAGACATCAGTAGGAGAAATCAGTGTGATTTGGCAATTTTTTAGAAAAGACTGAATCTACAGTGGGGTGTATGTACTTGTGTCTTTATTTAGCAAACACTTAGAGTCATTTTCTAAGCACTTTGAAATCATTGACTCACTGAATTGTATGCATGATTTTTTTGTATGAATACCAGGCTGACTGAGCTGTGGGGTACTATCCCAGGGAGGGGAGTTCCCCTGGGCCTCTGGTGACAGACCATCTGATGATGCTCACTGGAAAGACACAAATCCTTAGACAAGATGCTGAACTTAGAAATGGGCCTCAGAAGGGAGACATATTTTTTGACTCTTGCCCAACTTTGTTCTCCTTGTTTGGACTTTAGGAGACTGAAGCATTCTTGAGGTATTCACTTCCAACTCATGACAACCCCATGCACATCAGAGGAGAAATGTGCTCCATTGTTTTCAATACCTGACTTTCAGAAGTAGATCACCATGCCTTTGTTCCGAGCAGCCTCTGGGTGGACTCAAACCAGCTAGCTTTCCATTAGCAGCTAAGTATGTAAGAGACCTTTCACCATTTGTACCACCCAGGGACTCTGCAGAAGACACAGAGAAATTAAAATGTTGCACATATGTAGAAAATTTTAATTAAGCATTGTAATCAAATACATTTATCCATTCTCTACTACTCCTTTTTTTTTTAATATTAGAAAACTACTGTTTAGAAAAGATATCTGAACCCCTGCTGCTCAATTTTCAGTCAAACTATAGATAGATCTATGGGTCAGTACCGACTCGATGGCACCTAACAACCACAACATCCTAGATAGATCTAAAGAGGAGCAATAACACTAGAGAGGTATGCACACCTTAGAACAATCAACTATTTGAGATCAAAGGGACACATTTACCCTGGGACAATGTTCGGAAGGGCTGGGAAAGAAGTGGGGTATGTGGGGTCACATTATGGAGATGGCGGTCAATGATCTGAAACAAGGTGAGTATGAATTGTTTATTGTAGAATGATCATCAACTCTGTAAAGCTTCGCCCAATTCACAATGATGGTGGTGTGCCACGGAGTCGGTTCTGACTCATAGGGTTTTCGAGACGATAAATCTTTATGAGAGCAGAAAGCCTCGTCTTTCTCCCATGGAACAACTGGTAGTTTCGAACTGCTGATCTTGAGGTTAGCAACCTGACTTGTAACCACTACGCTACCAGAGCTTCTTCAATTAATCATTAAAAGGTTTAAAAACAATGAAAGAAAATATATCTGAAGCATAGGAATTCAATTTGTGCTTGTGTAGGACCCTGAGATTTAAATCCAGAGTGAATTTTTCTGTGAGCTAAAGTGAAGACTTTTAAAACGTCAGAGCAAAAAGAAGTGACCACAGTCCTCAGGCAGGGCGAATTTGCTTCCACTTGCTGAACTCTACAGCTGATGGGTTTTGGGTTGACAGCTTCTCACCGTGCTTCCTCCCAGAACCTAGCGAGGGTTGCATTTTGCTGTGGTGATGTGCATTAGCAACCTTTACAAAAATGATGTCCTGATATCCTAGATACCTCTAACACTCTCACTCACATTGATGTGCTAATCTACCACCATAATCAATATTAAACATACTCCAAACAGTTCATAATCAACAGCAAAATCTAGTTCTCCAGAGCAAGTGTGTGAGCCGGAGAATGAAAAAATTAAAACTGCATTCTTC